GCCCTGCTCTCCACTGTGATGTCCTCAGGGTTTCCCTGACCTGCCAGTGATGTCCCTGATGCTCTTCTGCGCTTCTCTATTGTATCCTTGTTGATCATCTGCCTTCCCCTTTGTTGTTCCAAGAGCTGCCCCATCTCCACAGTGCACTTAGAACTTCCTACTCTTCCTTTCAGGGATTTCCTGCCTTCCTGTGGTGGCCTCAGTGCTCATCCATCCTGAATACCTGAGGTGCATGGCTGGTGGCACCTCCTGGTCCCCACCTCTGGCAGGTCCTGTCCAGGATGAGGAAGAGCAGAGCTGGATGTAGGCTCTGCTGAGCTCATCCCAGCATGCCCTGCATGCCTCACACTTGTTCAGTGCTATGACCCTGGTCTCTGCAGAAGAGGAAGCTGAGGAGGAAAACATCACCCACCCACAAGTGGTCTTTCCCACTGACAAACTGGCAAGCTGTCTGAGAGGGACAGCTCCATCCAGAGCACTCCCATCCCACTTCTTCAGACTGCAGACTCTATCACTGCTTCCAGTGACCAGTGCTTCACGGATGAGGACAGAAGGGAAATATTGAGGACCACATGGATCAGGCTGACAGATTTGAGGATAACTGGCTTGGTATTATATCCTCTTGTGTGGGTGGGGGACCTGCAGCTCATCCAGCTTCCCCTCCATTGCTCAGAGGGTTGCTCACTCCTGCCACCCTGCCCACACCCAGACTGTGCTGCAGCACCAGTGCTGAGTTCCCTCAGCCAGTGGGTGGGCTGAAGGCATTTCTCCATCCCTGCTCTGTTCTGGGGCTGCACCCATGGGTGCTGCATGGAGCCCCAAGGGTAGCCCCAAGCCCTGAACATTGGTGCTGGGAGCCAGCTGGGCAGCAAGTAAGGGAAAGTGGTGCTGGGACCCCAAGGGCTTTTGAAGCAAATCCCTAGGATGGGGGCTGAAAGCAGCTCCATAATTTAAAAATGGAAAACAAAGTGCAACTTGCTCATAGTAGCTGCCAGATCCTGCTCCCTGAGGAGGAGGAGAAAGGCCGTTCTGGTGTCTTCAAGCCCAAGGAAGATGTTTCTGGAGGTATGAGATCTCTGAGCATATCTCATCCCCTGTGCTGGGCATGGGTCAGAGAGGTACCTCCTGATCTGGACACAACCAGATGCCACTTCTGTCTTCCCCCTGCAGCATTGGCAGTGACATGTTCACCTGGTTTGAGTGATATCATAGAGGATGTGTCTGTGCTGCGTCCCTGTGCAAAGGATGTGCAGTCTGAGCAACCCTGGCCACCTGTACCATCCCTGGTACTGTCTTGTACCACTAAGGACCCTTTGGGAGGGCTCAGACAGGGTCCTGC